GAAAGTTAAAGTGAGAGTGAAAAGTGAAACTGAAATGTGGAATTAAAATTGGTTGGGTTAATTTTGTATTTTCACATACTAAAATGGCTAAAAAGATGTTTTTTACAAAACATGGCTAAAATTTAGGTTTAGTAAATTTATAGGTTCATTTAGGCCATCTCCAACCGAAAAACCCATTCTTAAACTCATTTTGCAGTAACTGTTACATTTTGTAATAATTCATCTCCAACCGAAAAACTCATTCTCAAACCCAAAAGAATATTCTCTTTCACATCAACTTTTACAACTTTTCAATACTACCTACATATTTTACAATTTTACAAATTAAACCACACTATTATTTTAAATTCAATTTGAACTTTATGTAATAAAATTAATTATAAAGTTATAATCATATACATAATAAATCGGAGCAATAAATATACAACGCACAAGATGAAAAATTAAAAATTACAACACACAAGTTGAATTATAAATTATTAATTTGTTCACATATATTAAATTGTAGTTTGCCTATCTTAAACGTTGAAATTATTTTAAACGATATATATTTTTTTTATGATAACTTAGTTCAGAGCTTTGGTATGCATGTTATAAAAATATTTTACAAATAATTCAGAATATTATGAAATTATTTACAAATATTTTTTTTACTTGTGGGATCTAATATATACACTACATACGTACTTGTTATATTTTATGGTTTAGTGTATAATGTTGTGAAATTATTTACAAATATTTTTTTAGTTGACGATCTAATATACACACTACATATATACTTGTTATATTTTATATTTTAGTGTATTTTTACAAGCAAATAATTATAATATAAAATTATCTTATCTAATAACTCAAAGTATTTAATTGTCATAATTATTTTTTTATCATAATAAAAATTACATTACGCTCCAGAAGGGAAAAATTATATATTTTTTCCTTTGAATAATAGTTAATAGATGGTGGTGTAAAAAATGAGATAATGTCACATATACAATTTAAATAGAAAAGTTGAGTTGAATGTAATTTAAAAACTACAAAGGAAAATTTTTTTTGCGTAAACGCATATATGCGTCTAAACTAGGAGAGATAAATTAAATACTGCATTTTGCGTCCTTCTTTGCCGTTTGGTTGGAGTTCTTTTACCCCAATTTTTAGAATTTGAGTGTCGGTTGGAGACGGTCTTAGTGGTGTTAACACTATTATTATTTTGTGGTCCCAATAGCAATAGGAAACTGAGTAGTGATTTAAACCTTTTGGCCATCCTTAAATTTGAAAATCTATAATTCAATACTAGATATTTATTTATGAGGATATTTGTGTATTTGTTTATTGTCAATTTGTCTTCATATTTTTTTTATTTTTTTATTTTTGTAAATCAATGTTTTGGGTTTGCCATTCTTGAGTGGCTACACATGTAATTGCACTATTCTTTTTATTCTTTTTTCCGTTTTGATATAATTGATACCTAAAAAAAAGGCCAAAAAGATTATGTCTAGGATTAGTCATGTGTCTGTGAAAAGTAAAAATGAACATTTGTATTTGCTTATTTTTATTGTTGTTTTAAGCACCATATTATAGGCCCTTTAATATTAATATTTATTATTTTTATTTTATTTTCAGGTTATGTGGAAGTCATCAAGAATTGATTCATTTTTTTAAAAGAAAACATGATCAGGTTGAGGGAAATAAAGGAGAGGAAGCTAAAGGAGGACCATCAATTGTTGAGAAAGTTGATAACCAGATTCAAAAATCACTTAGAATTCAAAAATCACTTAGAATCGAGTCGGTGGTATTTGATATCAACAAGCTTGAACGTGAACCCAGGATTACGTATGCCAATATCAAGTTATCCCGTAGATAAAATTGATGAAGTTCGACGAACTTATATTAACTATGATCCTTATCAATACATTAGGGAATATCCATCGAGCGAGTCAGGGTTTGGCTTTCAGAGGTCGTGATGAAAGTAGAGATTCTCTTAACCGTGGTAATTTTCTTGAATTTTTTAGTGCGATGGCTAAACTTAATGAAAATATTGCAAATGTTATAATAGACAAAGCACCTCAAAATGCCTCGTATACATCCCCCTCTGTACAAAAGGATATTTTACTTGTTATCTCAATGAAGATAAAAAAAAAGTGATTTGTGAGGAAATTGGGGATGCAAAGTTTTGTATTATTGTTGATGGGCCGGAGATGAATCAAAAAGGGAGCAAATGAGTATCGTTTTGAGATTTGTTGATATTGATGGTTTTTTTCGGGAGCGCTTATTTGATCTTATACATGTGTCTGATACGAAGGCGCTAAATTTAAAAGACGCACGTCGATGAATTGAAAGCGGCTCAAGCTTCTGATATTGCTTACTTGATTTCTATTGATGAGCTTGAAAAAGGGTCTGGACAAAATCAAATTGGGAGTTTACAACGTGCAGGGGATAGCGTTGGGGCTCACATTTGAGGTCCATTTCTAGTTTTTTAAAGATGTTTAGTGCCGCTTGCTCGGTTTTGTTGTGCATCATTAATGAGGGAAATTGCGATCAACGAGTTGATGCTGATTCAGCTTACACTTCTTTAACTTCATTTGAGTTCATCTTCATCCTACATCTTATGAAGGAAAACATGGAAATAACTGATACACTTTGCCAAGCTCTACAACGAAAATCTCATGAATGCTATGCATCTTGTTGAGACGACAAAGAGTCTTATCCAGAAAATGAGAGATGATGGATACAACAATCTCTTTTTCAAGGTAAAGTCTTTTTGTGAAAGTCGTGCAATAGATATTCCTGATATTAATGCTTTATATGTGGAAAGAGGAGGACGATCTCGGAACAAGCAAAATCTGTTTACAGTCGAGGATCATTATCATGTTAACATTTTTATGGTTACATGTTAACATTTTTATGGTTACAATAGAAAGCCAATTGCATGAGCTAAACAACAAGTTTAGTGAGAATGTCGCGATACTACTTGCTCTTAGCTCTATGTTCGACCCTCGCAATTCTAGATTGTCTTTTAATATAGACGATGCTTGCCTCCTTGTCACTGAATTCTATCCTACGGACTTCACGGATTATGAAAAAGATTTGTTGCAAGCTCAATTGAAACATTATGAGATTGATGTTCTCCAGCATTCAGAATTTCAAACTTTGTGTACTATTTCTGATTTGTGTCAGTGGATAGCAACAAGTAGAAAGGCTTTGGTTTACCCGTTGATTGATAGATTAATCAGACTGATTCTCAGTCTTCCCGTGACAACAGAACGTGCA